ATAAGACTGTTTTTTACAACAAGCGTTTGGTCGCCCGTTGAACAATACCGAGCCGTATTATCTAAGCAAGTGGTCGTTGACATCCTTATGCCAATCCGGTTGTCCACCAAGACGCACCTTTCAAGGAAGACCTTTACACCTGGCGCTTTAATGGATGTTTTAGGGGGAGCACTGGCCATGATAGCATACCCGTATGTGGAATGAACCGTTACGTAAGTCAAATTTACTCCAAACCCGCCGTGCACAAAGACAGAATTTTCGTTGTTAAGAAACGACGTGTTTAATAATGATACATTCCCATCGCCAAAGAGGTTGTCAACTCTTACGGATACAGCGAAGCTGTTGTCTTTATGGCCCAGGTCTTGGAAAATAGAGTTAGTAATTGAGACTAAGACACGAATAGGATACGTTATAACTGGACTAGCTTGAGAACGGACAAACACGGCACCTTTTATACTTCTATCATCATTTGTAACATGAAATCGTCCCCTCGCGTCCTGGAAAAGACATCTTGATATGGTCATCTCAAAGAAGTCGTTAGGGAACTTGACAAGAATAGATTTTGCATTATACCGGAATTTACTATCAGTGGCTACAAAACTACTCTTTTCACGGACGTAGTCAATCTCATTCCAGAACACACCAACGGCTGCCTTAGAGAAGTTGAAAAACTTGCATTTGGCGATGACGATATCAAAGGAGGACACATTGACGAGGGCTACACCATACGTGCCATTGTCGAAAAGAAGGTTTGAGAGAGAAACTTTGACGGAGCCGATTTTGAACTTTGGACCAAATTCTATGCTGAATGTGTTGTTGCGGAATTCACTATCAGAAACCTCAAGTGAAGACTTTTGATCGATGAAAGAAGAAACCTGACTTCCTTCCCACAACATGAAAATGGCCCTCGTGCAATTGATAAATTTGCAATTGGAGATGACGACATCATAAGAAGGCACATTGAACAAAACTAATCCATACCTGCTATTATTGAATACAAGGTTTGAGAGAGAAACCTCGACAGAACCATATTTCGACCTTGATGCAAATACTAATCCACATGAAATGTGTGCCGGGGAGGATACACCCTGTATCGATACACTTTTCCCCACAGCTCTCAATTTCGTTCCATTGGGACCAACCGTTTTCAAACATTCGTATGGATTTGACTCACTGTTTGTCCCATTGAGGCAAATTTTGCCACCACTGTTCACTAGAAGTAGCGCTTGTGGTAATGTCCGGCAGGGCACAGCAAAAGAGCCACATTGAGGGGAGTCTTCACCGCTGAGATGGGATACGTAAAGACAATCACTCTCCTGGTCTTCTGCACCTAAAGATAACGGAAGTTTCTTACAACAACGTGGAATTCAGTTGTAAAACGATGTAAAGTTAAGTAGGTGCTTTGGATGTAATAGGCGCAAAAATTTCGAAAGACTACTATTTCGTTGCAAACTGCCAGAGTGGCACATGCATGCATGCTTTCTGGACAGATGCCACCACCATAGAAATAATTATCAAGCTCTTACGGACCAAACGT